GGAGTGCCTTTATTATTCCTACAGTTTAGAGTGGTTTTTCTATGTCGAATGCTTTAAAACGGTTTATATTCAACGCTCACAATAAAATTGAGGCAGTGAGCTTTCAGTTCCTAAAGAAGCATTTATGCTTAAAAAGGCTTTTGATTGATTTCTTCCCAACAAGCTATGTGCATTAACTCAAACTCACTCTGCACCAGAGCTTGCATGTGTGTGCAAATCAGAGTTGAAATGCGAATCTCTCAGGACCAAACTTGGCCCTTGTTGATAAGTAACAATTTTTCTCTGAAGCATTCATGACAAATCCACTCTAGTATTCACCTAGATGTATTCGTAGGCAACTTTGGAAGGTGGACAGAGATATATTCCTTTCATCTCAAATGAATTCTCCACGGGCTAAGTTATATGTCTTCAGGAGAAATGGAAAACACAAAATGTTCATTCTTGCTTGTTTTATTAAAATAAGAAAAAGTAGGATTGGCTTCTGTGTGAAATAAAACTTCCTAATATTCAGCAGTTTAAAGCAATCTTTAGACGCTTTAGTTACAGACATTGCCAGGCAAGGGCAATAATTCTATCTAGAACTATACAGCAGCATTTCTTTCAAAATGAATTTTTATTGTATTTTCGCATTAAAAAAAAAAACAAAACAGGCTTCTAGATAAATGTAAGGGACGTGCATGTAGACCTATTCTCCTCACAAAAACAATATTTAAAAATTTTGCTTCAACAGTATAAGCCCACATGGACAAAAAGAATGGACTAGAAACAAGCTAAGGCACCTTGGAAAATACCAGAAGGCCTCATGACTTGGACGCACTGGGTAACAGCAGCTGTCTGAATGCATGATAGGGTTAAAGCAAGGTGATTGCTTAGAAGTACCTCAGCTAGCCACAGGCAGGGTTGCAATGGTTTTGTTTATGGTGAAATTCACCTGGAGACATTCTGGTTGCAGTAGACAGAAGAGAGAAGGTACAGGCGATGGCAGGGTTGAACATGGGGAAGTTTTAGGGAATGCTGCCAGCTGAACTGAGGAGATGCCCCAACCTAGAAACCTGAAACTGAAGGTCACCCTATTTAGAGACAGGACACATCAAAAAGTTCGTAGCAAAAAGGAATTAGAATACAAATTTATTTTCGTGCAAAAACTTTGGAAGTCCACACATAGGTGTTTAGTCACACACACTTTCCCTGAACTCTTTGAAGTAGTTTTGTGTTTGCCTAAGGGAGCATGTGGACCAAACCAGATGCAAATCTAGCACTGCTTCTCGCTAACTTAAAGATCGCAGGCAAGGCACTCACCTCTCCAAGATTCACTTCCCTTACCTGTAAAACGGGGATAGTATATGTATCTGACTTCTAGTAATTATCAAATTAGATAATATAAATAAGGTACTTAGTATCTGGCACATGGTACCTGCTCAACAAATAGTAGCAAGCATTACCAGGAAAGAGTAGATTCTGCATTCCTTTCTCAAGGACTCGAGATGAAACTACCATGGAGTATAAATTCCGTAAACTGGCTCCTTTCTTCACATATTTCCCAACAGATCACTATAGAAACACAGCCTTAACTCTGTAGTGACAAGTTAAAATCAGGTTTGTGAAGGTTGGAACTTATGCTCAGTGGAGCAATAGAGAATGGGCTCTGAAGTCAGACAAAATTGACTATATTCCTGCCTCCACCAGTCACTAATGTGTTGTTGGCAAGTCATGGAAGCATTCCTCACCTACACAGTTGCAAGATCGTGACAAGAAATGACTATAATGCAGGCAAGGTCCTAGCAGAGTGCCCAGGACATGGTGGACATCAACAAATGTAAGCTATTTTCATTATGATTAGTATTAGGCAAAAAAAAATAATTTACAAATGCTAATTGGAAATTGGACAATTTTGGAATAAACGTGCTCAGGGCTATTTCTGCCATTCATCAAATGTGCCCGGTGTGGGAGGAATGTCACACTGTTACTCAGGTACTGTTTCTACTGACTTTTACATCAGTTTGGAGATTAACACAATGTGCTTCTAAGTGGTAAGCTATACTTCTTTTTTGTCTAGGACATTTTGCAGACATTTCAGCCAAACTGGCAATGTGCATGATACTCAATATTCTTGGTAGCTTTTACATTGGGGATTATAACTTCATCATTCAGTTCTTCTTTCTCAAAGCCAGAATTAATTAGAACAGTTCTTCTGTAGCTGTATATGGACACTCATCTTTCTATCTTGGACTCTGAGCCTCAATTTCTTATTCCAGTACAGAAAGCATAAAACAAGAATATGGTAAGCAGCATTTTTCATCTCCTAATCATTGGAAAAGTAAAAACAATCTTTATATAAAATCTCTAAAAATACTGAAATATATTATACTTTCTTCCAACAATATTTTATTTTATATGGTATTTTATTTACTTCCTCAAATGGGATATACTTTTAAAGCTTAGAATATATTATAAATCCATGGCTTAGCCACAGATTCTTATATTCACTTACCTCCTTAATTGAGCCAATTAACAAAACAAAATACACATTCAAGTGAAACATGTATCTAAGCCATTTAGGAATAATTAAAATTATAGATCAGGTTTTCTTTCACTGATCACAAATTATTGTAATGCTTTTGTGGTGCTCATTTCCGGGCTCACTTTGGTGTGTTTATTAAAGCCTGCTATTGTCAGATCACAGGGAGTATTGCATTTTCATTTTCATATCTCCAATTCTAAAGGGGATTAAATTATCCAATTAAGCTGTTAATTAAAAAGACTCCTACAGAATAAACTGCAGGCTACCAATGGCATTTTCAATTTTCATAGTGCTGTGCTCAAAAGTAATTTTCTAAATTCAGAAGGGCACAAAGTTACTGCCCCAGATTTCACTTTGGAAGGCATGGCGAGGGATGTTAGCTGAGAGCTAAGCCCACTTTTCTTTCTGGGGGCACATAGTTAAACTACATTTCCCACCCTCCCTGAAGCTAGGTTTGGCCACATGATTGAGCTGTGGTCAATGGAATAGGAGAAGTAATGTACACAACTTCCAGGACTAGCTCAAATCTTCCAGTCAGCATCTATGGCTTTTCCCCATTCATGAGTTTCTGAAAAATGAGCATTTAATCGATCACGTGTTGAAATCCAGTGAGTCACAACATGGAAGGAGCTGGGTCCCCAAATCAACAGTTGGAAGGAAGTTCACTGATCATTAAGGCCCACTGTGTATGGAAGCCCATGAGATTATCTATTTCCTTAGCTAATGTGAACTTCAATAATAAAGAAAGTGAACCTGAGGAACATGTAAATATGTTAAACATAATTGGAACTGAGACATAGCTAAAAACCCAAGCAGACTCAATACCTCTTGAGTTTCATAAAAGCAACTACATGGAACATAGCTAAGAGGCATTTTGGACTCTCTGCCCTCATGCCTCCCCCAAAGCCTCTCATTCCTGTCTACACCCTGGAGATCACCCATAAACTCTGTCATTTATACCAATCTGCTCTATACACAAAAATTATATATTCATGGATCAAATCAAACATAAACTCTCCCAGAGGGGCAAGAACAGGCCATTTGCAGCCACTCATTACCCCCAACTCTATCATCTGATGTCTAGTTCCCATATGTGAGTTATGACCTACTACTACACAGATAAGTTGGCCTAGTATCCTGCAGACCAGCACTTTCCCAAACCTTAAAACATATCAGATCCAGAAAGGTTTAAAACAATCAACAGAAGACTCTACTTGAACTGCCAGCCTCACCCCAAATGCTCCATAGAAAATTTAGTATGAATTCTGTGGCAGTTCCTCTGAATTTTTCTGGATGCAGGCAAGGAGGTCAGGTTTTCAGAGTCCTCCAACATGCAGCCACTGTCTATGGATACCCAGGCACTTCTGGTTCTCTGATGAGGCATTGGGCAAAGAGGCTCCCGAAGCATGAAGGCAGCCATCCTAGAGAACCATAGCCAACTTGACACTGAACATATAGAAAATGAGGATGGGGCATCCAGTAAAAGATCATCTCTGGGATCAGGACGGAGGGAACACCAACAGTGTCCACAAGAGGAGAGCCAAATACAATCTAAAGTACTTATATGTCATCACACAGCACTCAGTAGGGTAATTTTAACAGGTTACATAACCACATTAGATCAGACTGTTCATAGAAGCCCAGAGATTGTATACAATCCACTCAGATACAGCTAAGTCAGGAATTTAACAATACAGTGTATTCAGTAACTATGCACTGAACAAGTGTGTGCATATTCACTGGATGGTTACAGAATGGTGATAGCACATAGAAACCTTTTATCTTGCTAGAAACTGTAATCCTCATTGTCACTTCTGCAAGACCAACCCTACTGTGGTTGATAATTTTCTCAGAGGCATCTCTTCCTCAAAGGGAATATTAAATCAAAGGCAATAAACCACAACTGCTGACTTACATTTGGGAAGAAAATATGGCTTCCTTGCAAATCTCTCATTGTCTACAGAGCTGCATTCAAATCCCACTCTCCTAAATCAAGAAAACTAGTACATTACAGTGCTTTGCATATTTTTTTGGCAAATACAAGTATTAATATCTAAGACAGAACTGAATGTGTTAAAAAATGCAATCAATTTCAATGTTGTTGGGTTTTTTTGTCTTAAAGATTTATTTATTTGGAAGTCAGAGTTACGAAGAGAAAGGGAGAGGTGGGGCGGGGGTAGGGGAGAGATCATGCGCTTCCATTTGCTGGTTCACTCTCCAAATGGCTGTAATGGTCAGAGTTGGGCCAAGCTGACGCCAGGAGCATCTTCTGGGTCTCCCAGGTGGGTAGCAGGAGTCCAAACACTTGGGCCATCTTCTGTTGCTTTTCCAAGTCTATTAGCACATATCTGGATAGGAAGTGAAGGAGCATGGACACGAACTGGTGCCATATGGGAAGCCAGTGTCACAGGCATTGGTTTTACCTGCCACACCACAACACAGGCCCCGATTTTAATTTTTCAAGAAAGAGAGAAACATAAAAACTTCAACCAACATTTTATTGTCCTTAGAATGATTGTTGACATTGTTTCACAAACAGAGAAAGAAAAACAAACAACCAATCTGTCTCACAATGACTAGTTAGTTATAAAATGAATAACTTATGAACATCTTTCTTTAAGCCAGTTGGGCACAGGCCACTGGCAATGAGATTGTTATGTGAAACAACCAGATATATTTCCACAATTTAATAATGTAACTGAGACATCATGTTAAAAATATCAAGGAAGAAGTCTATCAAATGCTAAATGATTATAGAAATACTGAATGAATAAATGTATTTAGAAATGGGGTAATCTAAGGAGTGAAGGTTAATCCAAAGGTCAGTAGCCCAAAGCATAAGTCAGTCTGTTTCTTTCCTGGATCTGGGGTACCTGACAAGCAATTTCAGGCCTTTCAACTTCTCTGGCACAAGCACAATCTGTCTGGCAAGCCATAGTTCTTAGTTGTTTCTTAGTGATGCTCCAGGGCTAAATAAGATAGAATTTATGTGTTATGCTTTAAGCTCAATTGAGGCAAGCCACTAAATAAACTTCAGGATAATTTATGAATCCTGAAGCTTGCATTAGTCATGTCCAGGTCCATCTTATAAAAGGAAATAAATGGAAATAGGATGTGAATGCTGAACACTTGGTGAAAAGCTCAACAAACTTTGGTCAATGGTGATAAACAACACCACATTATATACATAGAATCCTTGACTAATCCTGGAGAATTTCACAAGAACTCGAACTCCTTCTACTGCCAAGATAATAGTTTACTGGCAGAACATCTGATCTATGAATTAGAAAAGTGTGTTTTGCAACTCTAGTCTGAGGTCCAATATCTAATTTCTTTTTAATTTAACATAATTATTTTTGTAAAACTCTATGGATCTACTCCAGTGGATATGCTTAGCAAGGACTGCCAAAATCCTGTCTTCTCTTCAGAGCTGTATCCTTAGTTTAGCTTCTCCCTGCCTTTTACCCTTTCCTTCCAGTTGCATTTTATACCCACTTATTCAGTGTCTGTTTCTTTTAACAATCTGTATTGAAGTGAAGAGACAGTGAGATCTTAATCCAAAGTGTAAACCACAACATACATCTGGAAATCCAATCCTTCCAGAAAATTATTCTAACCAATAGTCATGATTTGGCTTGCTACTTTTGGTTTGTTTGCTTATTTATTTATTTTAAGAAAGGCCATCCTATTTACAACTTTTGGTATAACAGAGTGACAATGAGTGAAGTGAACCAGGACTACGTATTATATAGACACTGTGAGGGCCCCAACTGATTTCCAGCCAGCTGTTTTCCTAGACCAGCAAGTGACTTAATGATTTCCGCTTCCAAAGTCATCATTCTATGCTTTTATCAAACACTTTCTCTGACCTGCAGGAATGTGTTTATTTGGAGTTTAAGGAGGAAATCACTATTCATATAAACATGACAAACCTCAGCTGATTTTAAATGCCCAAGTACAGGCATAAAACCAGAGGTATCTTAAATGTCTAAACCAAATCAAAGTGCTCACTCCAGAGAAAAGGCACTTACATTGCCAGCACCCCTAACCTAACACTGCTTGTTTTCAGAAATACAAACTAAGGTCACATTAAGCCATAGTTAAGAGGAGGAAAAGTAACTGCCCTTCAGAAGTGTATCCATTTGGAGAGGAAGAAGTCAAGGAGAAAATCACTCTCCTCTGTCTAATGCAGTGTAATTGTTCTCCTCAGGGTGGTGCCCCTCCACTTTTCTCCCTTCAGAAGTTCCCATGGTTACAGAAGGACATGGCACACACTTACATTAAAAAAAAAAAAAAAGAATGACAAGAGACAGGGATGCAAAATGACCTCTTGTGGTGACTCTGAATCTGTCATTTTGCTCTTGAGATTTTCCTATTGGCCCACTTAACCCAGTACCTCATGTACAAAGAACAATGTTAGTTAAAGGAATGCCTATTTTTGAGTAACAGGTAACTACTGTAATGGCATTTCCATTTTATCCTATGTACATACAACCTAAGAGATAGAAGAGCTCACTTAAAATGATAACTCTCTAAGGATCAAAACCATGGTATTGGTGTTTCTTACAAACTCTTTGGAGACTTGAAGAGTAAAAACTATGGATTTTTTAGGCTATTCAGGTAATTTTTAAATGAATCAATGTCCTAAAATGTCTTCAATCAAAAAAGTTTTCAAAAAAGTTAAAAAAAAAAAGGTAACATTTACCAAGCCAAAATGGAAGGGCACTTTGCTCCGTCCTCAATGTGGCATGGTCCCTTTGTATTAAAGGGAAGTGAAAGCCATATGTCCCTAGTGGAGAATAAGAAAGTCCTTCTCTTAAGGCCTGTTCATTTGAGAAACAGAAGTATGCATACATATCAGAGCAGTGGAACAAAAATAATTGGGATAAAGAAAAATATGGAGCAGACAATCACTGAGGTTCATACAGACCTGGATAAGGTTTTAGAGACTTCATCCCCAGGCTTCCTTGCTGCTATATGACTAGGAGTGAAAGACATAACCTCCTTTTTTTCTGTTTATGAACTCAAACCCTCTACCTAGGAATCCTTCCACCAGCTTTGCTCTTGACTTGAACAGCGCCATCAGCTACATCAGATGCAAGTTGTGAGGCACCTTTTCATTTCAATCAACTCCAAATCTGAAAACAAGAACTCCAGCAAATATTCCAAAATAGAGATCCAACATATACCTAATTTAACTACCTTAGAATTAAGACAAGCTGTGCAGTGACCATCCATAAGATCTACTGCATTCCACAAAGCAGCAAGACCTCCCAGGTATCCTTGCACACGTCTCCATCAGTGAGGGTTCCAGGTCTAATAGAGTGAACTTTTCTTGGATACATTCTACTTAGGCCTCCGACAAAGTTATAGGTTAAAATGGTATGTACCACTCAGCTGGGACTAACACACTACAATGGCCAACAGCAACAACCCAGCAGATAGCATTTGAACAAAAGTAGCCTAGGGATTTATTTTTGTTCTTTTGGTTTTCTAAAGAAACAAAGTTGGTTCATTTTTTGTATTCCACTTTTTAAGCCCTACAACTTTGAACAGACACTGGCAGGTCACCTACACAAATAATGAAAATGCATTAACAATGAAAGTCCTCAGGGGAACATAAGCCTAAAGCAGTGGATGATGAGGGCTCAGTGCCACTTCGGCTGCCACTGTGCCACAGCTCTCTCGGGCTGGTAGCAACCAGCATCCCAGCTACCAGAGCCGGCAGGAGTCCATGCCTCTGTTCATCGTGGAATTGGGTGGACAGTTAAAAGCTTTCTGGAATTCTTCAAAGTTACTAACCGCACCATTCACCCTGAAAAAAGATATGTCAAAGCACATGTCATTTAATTCTTAATTAATTCTTAATTCTCATCAACAGATTTGGGATATGGTAGTATATTTCTGGAAGGGACATTTTTGTTCATTAAGTTTGTTTAGAGAAGAGATTTTAAAAAGCCCCAAATGATAAATTTCCAAAGAAATGAACAAAGCCGAGAGTAGAACCAACATCTCCTGAATGCCAGACAAATAAATGTTTCGATGACTGTTCCAACAGTTTTCAAATCCCTATCAAATGGTATCATTGCCAATATTTAGTTTTTCTAACTTTGTAAAACTTTAACTTTTTCAGAAAAGTGTAACTGACATAAAACACACAAATCTTCAATGTTGAAATCAATTTTTTTCATGGGTACAGACCCACATTACTACGGCTGAGATGGAGACATAGGATATTTCTAGCCTGCAGAAAGCTCTCTTGTGTCCTCTGCCTTCAAAACCTCCACAGATAACTACCACTCTGACCTGTATTTGGAACCCATGGTATGCGCTCTTTTGTCTTTGACTTCATTCATTCAACAGAATGTCTGAAAGTGTCATCTATGTTGTTGCATTTCTAACTTTTTAAAACATTAATTCGATCTGCAAAAAAAAGCATTTCTCTTTAAATTCCTATTAGGCTTAGAGGTTCATGTTTACCTAGGATCTAGTTAATGCAAATATCAACCAATGAATGGTACCTAGTTGCGACTGATGAGTAATTCTTCACTGGAGTTAGTTCCAAAATCTGGTGTTCTTGCAAGTTTCTGACTGCAGTAACGACTGCAGTTGCCGACTCAGCACTTTGATTGTAACTGCCTTTTGGAAGTGGAATATCCATTGTGTGATTTCTGCTGCACTCTCAGTCTACAGTTACTGCAGACATCAATAACAAGCCAGGCGAAAACACTCCCCCCTCATCTATTTCTTACTCAACTGCACATTCAAAAGGTTGACTGAAGACTCAGCATTGCCAGTCACTGACTAGTTCTTCCCTAATGACTTTGTTACCTATGGGCATTTGAATGAATGTAATAGCTTGCTTCCAAAAAAATCTTCCTAACCTCTGGTGTTTGAGCTGGGATGTACAGGTAGGGATGCATATTTCATAGCGTGATTCACCCTAGGCAGGTGGTAAAGATAGAATTTAGCTGATAATTAGTAAGCATACTCTGAAAATTATCAGCTAAAATTCAACATTACAGACAACTAGTTAGTAAGAAGAAATTAGTCACAAAAACTTATCTGTTGAGTAATTAATCTACTGTGTGGTTTCATCTGCACCATTTGTCAGTGGGAGCACATTTCAGTCCATTAGAAACTGTCAGCTTTCATGACAGTTAAGCCCAGTGGGGGAGAATTTCCAACACAGTGATTAGATTTTTTGTGCTAGTGGGTAATTTATAGTCAATTTCTGAAACGTTTCTAAGGCAAGGTTTTGGAATAAGATTTTTAAATACTCAGATAGGAGAAATCATAGACGACTTTCTTGAAATGTGCTAACGGCTCATTTAAATATTAAATATAATGATATCTAGGTATAATATGTTCTAGGCAAAGAGTGAATATAAATTATTATGGTTTCTTCAATTTATCATTATAATTAGCTGTCCTTAACTATAGAAAGTTTCAAACTACAGAATCTAGCATAGGGTAAGTAATATCAACCTCAATTTTTTTGACTCAATATTTTATATGTTGTGACAATTAAATAAGACTAATTAAATTTTTTTATTTCATATATAAGCAACTATTTCAACATAAAAGCCAAAATGTACCATCTCTGATTCTAGAAATGAATTATAATTTCAAAATATCACTATATCTTCCTTTATTTTCAAAGCTAATCAGAAAGTAGGCATTCATTCAAGTCTGTTGGTTGACTGCACCAAAAAATGAGAAATATATTAAAAAAATATTCTTTAACACAAAACACAACAGAGCTCTTGGTGTTTTAAAGCAAAATATGTCAGAGCTCATCCTTTTCTAAGACAAAAACTGATTTTTGCCTTGGACAAAAATAGAAGTGATTGAATAAACTGAATACGCTGGTTTACTGTGCACCCATGGTGGCCATGGCACTCATGGATTGCTCTCTCAAAAACTGGAAAATAATAAGTGGGATCTGTTACTAAAAGTGTGATTTGGATTCCAAATTAACTTTATAGTCTGATATAGTCTCATGGATCTCTTGATATGACGCTAGACTAGAGGTATATCCAAGTGCCCTTCGGCAGAAGTTGAGAGGACACTGACTAAACAAGCTTACGAAGAATAAAGGAAAGGGATGTAATTTCTGCTTAGCCAGATTTTTTTTTTTCTGCATATTGGAGATGACACAGTTTACAATGCAGATTTTTGTTCAGATCACATACCTGGGATGGCAGAGTCGGGGAGCAAGTGGGGAAATGCACAGGTTAAAAACAAATGTCACCATTTTACCCATTTACCTAAACTGAGGGGGGCTGTGAGCACCAATTTGAATTTGTTCTCGGGCGGCCTCTGGTCTGTAGGAATTGCACCTCACCTAGAAGAGAAAAACACCCCAATAAATATTTTTCCATTCCAATAATACATTTTCTGCTGTCTTAACGGCTCCAAATTATCCTGAAGAATAATTTCAGAATCAATGCATAACAAACAGTTTTAGTAGATCAGATAAAAGCTTCATCAGTAGTAACATCTATTATTCTAATTCCCGGAGTAGAAGGTTTTATCAATGTGAATAATTCCACAATTTGAGTAAATTAGGAAGGTTTCCAGACAAGTCCTTTAAATCAACAGAATTGTAGATGTGCCCAGGAATCGACCTATGTATTCATCCAATTAATTTGATGTTTGAAATAGCCCTTATCAAATTTAGTCATACTCATTCAAGTCAATAAAATGAATCAGCCACCCATAATTGAGTATGGTCATGAGAAGTTAGTATTCTGCCTGCTGAGTGCATGGCTTGCTATACCCTATTCCAAGACTGAGAGGGTTCATGGCTCCAGCTTCTCAGAAGTTCCATACAGCTGCATGACTTGCTTTGGCCAATGAAATGTGAGAAGTGATATATGTCACTTCCTAGCAGAAGCTTTAAAAACATGAGAAAAGATTCAAGAGCCTTAGGAACAATTTAAGATGCTACATTCAGGGCAAAAGCACACTTTCTCATATTTCTTTCCTCTATCTGTGGTGGACATGGAAGCACATGTTGAGATAAGGACTCCAAATCTCAAGTCCTTGAGTAAAAACTATGAGCAGAGTCCCACCACCAGCCCACGCTGGACACAAACCATGAACAGCAAATCGACTTCCAATGTGTTGTTGCTACAGCATGATCTACATAATCGTAAGCTGAAGGATGTCGTAGTCTTGAAGCATGAATTCCGAGTGGAGGAAGAAGCAGAAGCAAACATGTTTACGCTGGGGGGAAAGGAAGACATTCAATGTGGCTGGAATATGTGCTGCATCATGGGCAGCAGTGGGCAACCAGAGGGAAGACAGGATGGTGCCTGATTTATGAAGCATTCGACAACAGGCCGCAGTGTTTAAACTAGATTGAAACATTGTTCTTGCGCAGGACAATGATAAAATCCATATTTTTAAATGACTTATCTGGCAAGGGTATAAAGTACAAGGAGGAAATGACAGACAAGTTAGAAGATTATTTATAGGCAGCAGGAAGGTTCTCAGTGAACATCCACTAAATAAGTACAAATGGAAATGGAAAAAAAAACAAAAAAACAGAATGACGAGAATACCTGAGCAAAAGCTGACAGGTTGCTGCAACTATAGGCACACAGGAAGCAGGAAAGGGGATATGATCTATTGCTTTTGATGAAAGTGAACCATCAGTCTTTGTGATTCTGATTTTGACTTTGAAGATGTTTTTATAATGTGAGTCCTTAATTTGCTCAGAAGCTAGCTAATGTGAAGTTGTTTCTGGCATTAAATTTTATCTCATTTCTTCTTATGTTATTTCTTCTTGCGTTATTATAAAGCATTGTCTTTGCTTCATAAATCATTTAAGAGATTTCTGAAAACACATTATGACTGGTACTGTTTTTCTAGTACCATCCCAGAAGGGAAAATCATTTTACTCCCCATAAGCAGATTTAGTTTAAAATAAATCAGGTATGGTTGGGAGACATTTCAAAATTACAACTATAACATCACTGTCAATTAGTTTATTTTATCTACACAGAAATATTGTGGAATGGGATGTAAATAACAACTGATGTATCTTTGTTCTCTATTAGCAGGGTCAGCAAACTCTTTTCTAGAAACAGATAGACAGCAAAAAGTTTAGGCTTTGAAGAATATAAATTCTCTCTTTCAACTAAATCATTCTGCTATTGTAGCACAAAAGCAGCTATAGACAGTGGATAAAGGAAAGAATATGGCTGGTTTACAATAAGACATTATTTATAAAAAAACACGCAGCAGACCATATTTGGCCCTTGTTTGCCAACCCCAACACTAGAAAAATCTATTTTTGTAGTTTGCTTATCTTAAATAGCTGACCCAGTATGGACCACAAAGGAAGTCTCCTTGTTGAATTGTGTTAGTCTTATCCTTTTCAAGCAACTGATCTAAAAATAGCAAGTGCCTTTAATATATCTGAGCATCTTTACTGGGTGCTCTGGAGATACATAAGAATAAGAATCCAGATGATTAGTTGTAGAGATAAAACTAAAAGTCTTGAATATTTTGAGAGCAATTAAGTACTCAGCTGCAGAGTAATGAAGGTAAGTGTAAAAGGATTTGGATATAAAAGAAAATGATGAGGATTAGAGTCCTTGGGGAGGAGTTTAGCAAAGATGTGAAGGAGGTCAAACTCGACATGGATCCTAAGGATGAAGCTGGAATTGAATTACTTCATGGGGAAGAGTAGCAAAGCAATCACATTAAAGAAGGAGAATCAAAAACAAAACCACACAAACATTACCAGGCATGACATTATGGGGTGGAAGGGAGAATCACTACTTGGCTAAGATTGAGTTTTTCTCAAGCAATGGAACTGCGGGAAATTAAAAGCAGGTTGGGTGGAGGTCGACCAGATTAAAAACTTTGAAAGAAAGATGAAGAAGTTTGATTTCAATGTGGCAGGCAGTGGGGAGTCCCTGGAGTTCTTTCAGCAGGTCAGTAATGAAATAGAAGTATTTAGTGGCATGTAAAGCAGTGGTGAAAGACGCTGAAGTCAGGAAAACATGTCAGAAGGCTACTGGGATAATCCAAAGCAGAAGATATGAAGGTTTTAACCTATAGGTGATTAGATAGAACAATGGGAATGCTATGGACTGAATGTTTGCTTCCCCCATCCCACTCCCAAAATTCTTATGTTGAAACCATAATTATATCATCTTAGGAGGTGAGTTCTTTGATACATAATTAAATTGTCAAGAGGATCTGTACCCTTACAGGAAGAAGACAGAGAGCTACCTAGCTCTTTCCACCAAGAGAAGACACAACAAAAAGCCAGCAATCTGCAACCTGCAGAGGGCCTTCACCAGAATTTGGCCCTGCTACCACCCTGATCTTGGGCTTCTCCAGAACTCTGAGAAATAAATTTATACTGCAGCAAAGGTACCCAGTATATGGTATTTTTGTTAAAGTGACCTGAACTACCTAATGCAACAGGGTCAAGTTTGTGATTACAAAATAAATTCGAAGTATGTCACTGTAAAAATTAAAAGGGAAAATAAGAAGGGAAGGAGGAGAGATGGTGGGCACATGGGTGGGAGGGAAGGTAGCGTGAGTCCTATCACGATGCTCTTAAATCTGTATATATGAAATACATGAAATCCATTCATCTTAAACAAGGCTGAAACATCTAGGATAAGTATATCAAAAAAAGCCTAAGAATCTAAACTTTCGAAACAGAAATACCCAAAGACTTGGGGTATATTGGCATGAATAGGAAAACTAAGAATGAATGTCGTTTTGTTGAGGACTACAGTTTTGTTGACATTAGGGTAATAAATGTCAATTTATCTAGAACTGTCCTTTCAGGTTTATGAAATAGAAGGCCTCCTACAGGTGTGAATTTTTTAACCAGAATCAACTGTAGAAGAGTTGGATGTGTATGTGCTTATGGAAGAGTGAATGCATAAACTTAGGAACAAGAAGTTGTACTGATGGAAATTTCTGTCTATCTTTGAGTATATACATACACACTTGTCGATTGTGATACCACACATCACAACTTTTATTGACCCATCCTGACTTTGAAAATGCTGCCTATGTGACTGTGATGTAAACCAGTGCAGTTATCAGTAGCTAAGAACTGGACCTTGCCTCATTAACCAAACAAATTCAGAATTGTACCTTTTTTAGTGCACATTTTCCTTTCAGTTTCTGCTCTAAGAATGCACTGAACTCAAGAAAGAGTGACTTGATGCTCCTCGCCTTTCTGTTTATTTTTCAGCTCTGGGAGTCATGGCATATTCACAGGACAATTTGGAACAAAGCCCTGAAGATGCCCCATAGGTAGAGTAGTAGAACAGTCAGCACATGAGGCAAAGGAGAAGGAAAAAGTTAGGAAAGGTCGGGGCTATGAAACCCAAAGGATGAGTTACTAGAAATGATTCTAAGTTGTATCACGTCATTAAGAAGTCAACATAGAATGAAGAACTAGCAAGTGGGTTACCATAGGGCTTGTAAGCTACTTGACAAAAAAAAAAAAAAAACTTGATTCAATAAGCTAATTATCTCCTATAGAACATTAAAAAGGACAATTTTTATCCTGAAAATAATCAGCAAAATAAAATATTGGCTAAAATCAAAATCATGCATTAAGTTTTTGTTCCAAACCTTTGATCAAGGGAGTAGGCTAAAAATCCCACATTTCACCTCCAACACCCATCCCTCAGTGTACTCACGTGAGCATAACTCAGGAAGAAGAGTTGGTTGTTGGTGAAAGTGATGCCAGGGAGGAGAGGTTCCTCAACTCCCTCCCTTCTGTCACTTATCCATTTCCTGTAAGCCTAGTGAGAGAGGCAGAAGAGATGAGCCCCTGCAGTGGTGGTTTTTTCTTTCCTCATCTAGCACAGAGACATTAAATACATACTCCTGCCATGGAAAAGTACATGTCAAGTTTGTTTTTAAGAAAGCATCACATGTGGGCAGGCATTTGGCCTAGCTGTTATGATGCCCACATCCTATATCAGAATGCCTGGTTTGACACCTGCCTCCTGCTCTGGGTTCCAGCCTGGGAGGCAGTAGCGATATTCAAGTAGTTGGGTCACTGCCACCCATGTGGGAAGACATATGTTGAGTTCCTACCTCCAAGCTCCAGCCCCAGTAAGGGACCATTGCAGGCATTTGGGGAATAACTCTCTCTTTATCACCTCTTCCTTCTCTCCCTCTCTCTTCTCCTCTCTCCTCTCTTCTTCCTCCCTCTTTTCTCCTCTCTCTCTCTCTTCTCTCTCTTTCTCTCTCTCTCTCTGTTTCTCTCCATCCCACTCCTCTGCCTCTGAAGTAAATAAATAAAAAATACTAAAAAAAAAAAAAGAAAAGAAAAGAAAGAAGAAAACAACATCTCAAAATGCAAGGCAATGTCCTACTGCTTAAGAGTGAGGCAGGTACACCTACAAAGACCTTACATTAAGTAGATAACAAAGCCGTTCATCTAAAGTGTTTGGGTGTTTTTTAAAAGCTGTTCTTACTACTCCCACCATGAGACAGACAAATCTAACACAATGGTAAGGCCCCTATGGCAATATATTTTAGGGCCAACATATTATCAACTTTTTCTTTTGCCAAATAAGAATAAAAATTATCATCTTCTTTCACTATCTATCATCATCACTTCATAAAATAAAGTGTATTTTAAATATAATTTAGGAAAGAGATGGCCTGAGAGTAAGTCTGGTCTTTAAACTGAATACATGTAGCTTTATAAAAAATCTTTCCACATTATCTTTATATTTCTCAGTTAACCATGACCCAGTGGATGATACAAACATTATCAAGGACTCACATGGCCCAGTGTATGAGCACCACTACCCTCTGGCCATCACTGAGAAGTTTGACATTTTAAAAGAAAATTGTGAAGAGGACTTTACTCAACGAAAACTCATATGAACCTAGCCCCCCGGAGATTTCTGCAGTATAATTTGATATGATTGTGATTGTATTTTCAAAAACCACCCTTTAAAACTATGATTCTTAATAATAAATATTATTTTTAGGATGATTTTACATCTCTCTCCAAAAAGAAGGCACTGCACCTCCACTCATATACTAGAGTCAAAGGAGACACAATTCTATTTACAGAAACGCTGTAATAGCTAACTCCTCAAGATCATGTTGCACCGTAAATGAAGGTAAGCCCATATGGCATCTTATGGCTTAATGCTGCAGACCATAGCAAATGCAGTATGCGCACCCTAAAAGCTTCCCGCAGGCCTCCATTGTCGGCAATATTTTCTCCCAGGGTCTTCTTCCCTTTCACCTGACAAAAAGAAAGAAGAAAAAAAGTTTCACGGTCAACTATCATTCACCAAGAAGCATAAATATTACAGCAAGCAAAAGTGTCATATTTTAAAGAGAAAATTACATTCAATAAATCAGAGGTAGTCATAATACATTGTGAGATGACAAACTAATCCAAGCAAGATGCCTCAGAATATCATAGTGTCCACTTCATTATGCTATGCATTTCTTCCTCACCTACTTCTTTATTCTTACCAATTTAGCCAGCTCCAATAAAA